GTTTTATTGAAAAGAATGGACAAAACCTTTTGCTAGATTTGACGTATGAGCGCTAGTCATTCTTAAACCCGTAGAAACGATAGCATTGGAAATAATAAACGAAAACCTCGTTTGACCGACGTCGGATTTCAATGGCATGTCGTGCGGAGATACAATTAGCAGTAAGCGAGAGAAGCGACCACTGCTGCGGGACAACTAGTTAAACATATGAGTGGATCGAGTTCAACCCTCTACAAACATATCATCATAGCTTCGTTGTGATGTCGCATAACGGCAAGGTATTGCCGTGTTGCGACGCCGCGTGGTCGTGCCGGTAGTTCTCTCTCTGTGGCTTCCTGAGTGTAACCTACTCCATTCCCCCACCCCCTCTTGGTGTGGCGTTCAAAGGGGCAGATGCTGACTAGGTGGCTACAAGCGTGCGCATAAACGTTTTCATGCGTAAGTATGAGCTACTTCATGTGTTCAAAAGGGGAACAGAAGAAGAGCCCGATAATTCGGTTCTTTCCCCTTGGTTTCATGACGACAGAAGCTGGTGAAACGTATTTTCATCAACGTTGGCACTTATGCTGGATCCTTCATTAGGATGGTAGTAAAAAAGAATGAGTACGGCTTTACACTTTTGCCAGTAGCTCAGTCGAGGGGCTCGTGGTTGATTGCAAGCACTTTTTCGGTTCAGAATGCATGAAATATAACATCATTTTTTNTTTTTTCTCAAAAATAAATGAGAGTTAACGGGTCAAACGTGAATAAACCAGTCAAAGATGGGAACTTCCACCCACAGATTTCATTTGGGTTACGGTTAGATAGAGTTAGGATAGGATGAAGAAGATTATTTCCAACCCCCTTCATAGAAGTCACATTGTTGTAAGCAGAGATCAGGAGCCTACGGGTTCAATGAGTGAAAAGAACTGGAATGCTTCATATAATGGTAGGAACTCATTACCTTCATTAGAGCGTAATGTCTGCAGAATTACTATGTATATTGATTCGATTGCAACCATAATTTGATATTATTTTGTTCTTTTTTGTCATAATAAATTGAATATGTTGTTGGCCAAGACTCTTTACAATCGCTTCCATCTTGGCTCTGAGAGATTAAGTATTAGTCATATTCTGACCCCAGGAAATGCCAATTTTGTAAGTGCAATTTTGTGCGTATCGGGGAACACTTTTGGTTCTCCCAGTCCTTTTAGCACTTTTGCTGAGATGTTATTAGAAAGACTGGCATCAATTGGTACAAAGTTCATAATTTTCCCACATGCGCCTGTGTCGAACGAACCGGTTGCTGCGTGGTGGTGCTTCGTGCAATTGTTCGATAAATCACTGAATGAATGACAGCCGTGGAATACAGAGAATTGAATTAGGCGGAAATGTATCGCCGTAAGAATGAAATGCGAAAATGCAGTAAGGAAAGGCTATAGTTCTGAGAAAATCACGAATCTCGGCTTTCAAAAGTTGGTTTTCGAGATGTTGAGAGAAATCGTTGCCGAGCGAACAGCTGGCTGAACCTGTAGGCGTTATAGCGCAATTGTCAGTTGTGGAACTGCATTCCAATGAAACATGTAGCTCTTAGTTTTTAATTGTTCCGGGGATAAAGCACCACCCTATTGGATAGGCACTCGTTCAATACTCAAGAGGTGATGGTCTAAATGCAATTCCTATGTAAGTCAGATGCCTGGCGCACTTCAGAGAGCTCAAGTAAATGTGACCATTTCACCGCTCTATCCAATGGTTAGAAAACTTGTACAACATAACTTGAGTCGCTGGAGCTCGGTTCTTGGTAGTAGAATTACACTGACTTTACCAATAACTCCCTTTTTCCTGGATGTAAATAGAAACTTTTTTTAAGGTTCAAACAACTGACATTCACTCACATCCACGCGGTAGGGTTCTAAAAATGTCATGGCGAAAAGAAAACAACTTCTCTTCAAATTTTAATTTTTGTTGACCGGTTGTTTACGTAAATTACTAAACTAATTTAAGAACACGGAAATCTTACCACTTCTCACATCCCTCAAACATGGAAACGGTTCATGCCAGACCCTTGGTAGAGCAGGAGAACTCGGTAATGTTGGTAAACTGATTGAATTAGACAACCGGTTCGAACATACAGAGGACATAAAATCTGCGAGCCAGTCTTTTTGCTTTTTTCAGTAGTTTTTTAAAATGGATTGTTCGAAGACGATATTCTTCAAATATCTTCCGAGTTGTCTTGTGAGTCTTAATTCTTTTTGTACTTGTTTATCCCTTCAGTTAGTCTTCGAAGGTTGCCTCTGTGAAACTGTAACTGCCTATGTTGGTGAAAACAGTCGTTCTGGCTGAAATTGCATGCATTTTAATAGCCCAGTTGTTCTCAATCAGGATTGAGGCGCATTTTATTCGTTGACGCAAAGTATACGGAAAAACCGTCTTGCAGGGAAAGTACTTAAATTAAGTTTCTCATGAGAGGGGAGTGTAAAGAGGATGCTGGATGGATCGGAAAAAAAGAGATCCTGGATCGAAAAGCGAAGTGAAAAGGTGTTATCTGGGAAACGAGAAGAGGATGACGAAGTGGCAAAGCTGGGGCATTGCTAACGTTGCAGGAATTCATCTCAAGGTTCAATACTGGTCTGCTTTGCGACGCTTGAGAGAGTTTGTTGGCTAATAATGAAGCATAAGGCGAGGATTCTTCACATGAGGCCTCCAGTGGTTGTTAGAGTAGATTACAAAAGGAAACTTCATTCGTGAGACAGGCGTTCAACGAGGTTCTTCAAGATTTCAGCAGCAGATCAATGCTGTAGCAATGAGGCAGCCAGAGTAGGCGGTTTCTTGTGGTCACGCTGGACTCTGGTCCCATAGCTGTTCCTGCTGGTGCTATGGGAGTAAATAGTCGCTGGAAATGGATTAGGGCTGAAAAGGGATCGCAGCTGCTACTGATGACGGTGAGGGATTGGCGCGTGGTACCGGTTTCGTCTAGTAAGAGCCGCTGAAAGGAGAGTAATTTGAAGAGTTCTAATAAGTAGTCAGGGGACGAGGAGGGCTTATAGAGACAGGCACTCGGATGAAAGGGCCTTCTCTTTTGAAGTCCCTTGTCTTTCTATGAGCACACGCCACGGCTTTTACTTCGTCGACAGGGACTACCGATGGAAGAAAAGGAAAAATCGGTCGCTCACTCAACGGCTCTGGGTGTATTAGTGCGAATCAATTGTGGTGCAGTACCGTCTTCAAATTCTGAGTTCAACCTTATATGTTTGATCAGAACTGATTTGCCTGATCCATTTGCTGTAACGATCGCCCATGACAATCCAAATCTGCAGAGCAGACAAGTCCTGCAATTCGACGCTCCTTTTCGTCTCAACCAGACTCTTTCGCGCCTTTCTGTTTATGCTTTATTCAGGACTCCAAATTTCTGGTCCGCTACTTTCAGTAATGCGGAGTCCATGTTGGGAAGGAAATCCTCTGGTGTGTTTTACAGATTCTTGAACAGTAAACCACCAGTTGCGGCGGACACTACTTACTCCAGCAATTATTTTGCATTGGAGTAACAATATGAAAAATAATGTATTCGTATATCATTGGACGTTAAGAGAACCTTAAGCAAGACCTTGTGTATTCGTATTCATGCTGCCTGGCAGACGGTTTGGTATGAGTTGTGCTGGAACAACACCTAACAAACAATAAAGAGGGAGGGGGGAGGGTGGCTCACCTTTGAATCATTCTTTCTAACTTTTTACATGTCCGATGGGACTCCGAAAAAATAAAATTCGAATAGGGTCTAAAGAGTTTCTGAATGAATTAACTTCTATTGACTAATTTTCTCCGGACTTATGCCGAATTTCACGAATGCTCCCACGAATGCTCTCAGCCATAGTTTTGTGTTGTCCATAACTACTCCATACACTAATCTTACTCTAAGGTGATCACTTGCGTTTTTTTTCTTTTTGTGTTTCTTACTTTATGACTTCTCTTTTTATCTCTTCATGCTCACATTTCCCCTTCGATAGGTCGTTTTTTTGCAACCTAAAAAGATCTTTTCGCCAGTGTCGGAGAGGTAAAATAGCAGCTTCTACACTGTGTATGTTCCTCACACATGGTCCTACTCACGATAGCTGAACTATCCATTACTTTGTCAGTTAACTAAACTAACTATGCAAAAAAAGAAAGAGTTAGTGACAATACGTAGATTTTTCTCACTTTTCATCAACTGGATTCAAGCCTTTGCCAAGTTTTTGCAACCATCCACAATTATCTTTCAACATCTCTTCAAGTCAATTTTCGAAGGGCAAGAAAAAGTAATTCCACTCTTCCCTGACCACCAAAAATAAAGTTGAAGAGATTGTGTTTATGTCTTTACCGGAATCCATAAACACCTTTTGAACTACACAGCAGCAAGTTTGCTGATGTGGAGGAAACCTGAACTTGGCGCACACTGTCTTCGTCATGACCATGGGAAAAGTCCATAAACTTTTAGTGTCACCCGCTTTTTCTCTACGCTGAACAAATAGCTGTTGATAGATTAGAAAAAGTGTCTTCATTTGTGAAGCAATGGATTATTAAGATACTTCCCAACTAAGAATTTAATGCTACGTTTTGGTCATTTCTTGTACGGGGCTCCCTTTCGTATTCCTTGCCGTACAGTTACATTGAGCCAGTGCAATGGGTTTCTGGGCATCCAGTGCCTTGTGGGTTTCGAATAGATTTCAAGTTTCTCGATCGAGCCTGACGCCATTCATCTGACACCGCACAAAAACTCAACCGGAGTGGCTTATTCTCCAACCGTACGATATTAGCAGCGCATAGCCCATTTGTCAAAAGCTGATGATCAATAAAAATAATCATGATGAATATCAGATGTTTCGGGCGACAAACAAAGTCGTAGCGAACTTCACCACGAAAGAGTCTTATAAAAAATTAGCGGCAACCGGTATTTCACGAGTATCTGAAGGGGAAGTTCTTAAATACCAAAGCAGCTACACAAAAGAAAAATCGATGCAAAAGCAAATAAAGATGACAAGTTATTCTCACCTCGTTGATTCGATGGTTGCCGTCTGATTGGCCATCGAATTTGGTATGTGGTCCTTTTGGAATATTCCTGATTGGAATTCCATTGGTAAAAATATCGCATCAATAACCGATGTATCGATCGTCATGGCTAATCGATAGCAGAATAGCTGACGAGTATCGATTGAAAAGGTCGATTATTTCGAATGGCGAAGCTGCTTTCCTTGAAAGAAAGCTAACGCCACCGGGACGAACACGTTTCAGCCACTGGCTGAAAACGTTGGCGGTGGGGTGGGACCGCTGAGGGCGGTCTCTCAAGAATCGAGAATGCGAAGGCGATTACATCTGGCGCAGTGACCTTATTCTTTGGGAACATTTCAAGTTTTCACCGAGGAGCTTGATAACCTGGAAGATCTCAGAAAAGCAGTTACTGTACTTCGAGGAGGGATTTTCCCTGGAATATGAAAAGAAAAGATACTACGTGCTGTATAAGACCGACGGAACAATCACAGAGTTCCCTATAAAACCACCATACAGCAGCCGGCATGCTCCGGCCTGGTTGAGTTTCGAAGAGGATGGGAGTTTCAGTTTGCTCCAACTGGCAGTTCATGTAATCACATTCCCGGTTTTCAATTAGGGTTTATTCGGTTTTCAACTAGTCGCGAACATGGTGTTGATCCACAGTACTCTTCAGCTCCTTATCCTCTTCTTTATAGACTGCCAAAGCACCCTCACCTCACTGAATAAGCTCACCAGGAAAGGATACCAAGTCGCAGTGGCCATTTAAGATAAGATGTATACCGACGTAGGTAGTTTCGAACGCTGATCTCGAATCTGAATTCCAAATCTGCGAAACGGTTCTGGGAACAAAGTTACGGACCCCCCTTCCCCAACTGTCATGTTACTTTGTTGCTTTTATACGAGAATCAAACAGTACGGAATGTGGACAGATGGCGCAGTTGGTAAGACGACGGGCTAGCAGGCATGGAATCGGAGGTTCCAACCCTTGATGCACTAGCTTGTATTGCTTTTTTATAAAAAGTGTATTAAACGCTTGCAGAATCCTTTTATGCGTCATATCGACTACCTACGCCTCTCCTTCACATTTATGGAGCACCAAAAATGCTGATACACTGAAAGTATACGGTTACACTTCAAGTCCAGCAGGGAAAAGTTGCAAGAGCTTCAATAAAAATAGGATCACGGATTTAGTGCGATTTTTGGAGAGTTCGACAGGTGAAGACACAAACAAAATCATTAATCCGATCAATATATTGGATTCGATCCCACATATTACTTGCAATATGTTCTGCCCCAAAGTGGTTGTATCGCACTTGTTAAAGAAATTCGGTTCCTGCGACATAACGCGAGCACCATCCCGGAAGGAACAGAAGGTCATAGATGGCTTCTCGTCCATACTGCCTGATGCTATGCACGACAATCTCGTCGACGACTGGGAGGAAGAGAAGTCCGTGGAAGAAGATCATAATGACCCTCTCTGGCATCCTGATGAGAGCGACGACGATGACGGACCCAGTACATCCCGGAGGGAGACCTCTTACCTCTTTGGAGATGCAGAGGTGTCAAAGGAAAAGGTAACCTTCAACTTTAAGATTATGTACATGATCTCCAATTTTATGGTGCAGGTAGATGAGGCCATAGCCTTTTATCGCTCGACTGCCAAAAAAAGTCTCACAGAGGGAGACATTACTTCGTGCAGAAGCGCTATAACCTGGCGAGTCACCCCATGGATCAGAAAGGTTTCATGTGCACCCTTATTCGGTCTTTGGAGATGGAGGCCGTGAAAAAAAAAAGAAAAAAATTTAATTGTATCAGCATTTTTGGTGCTCCATAAATGTGAAGGAGAGGCGTAGGTAGTCGATATGACGCATAAAAGGGTTTTGCAAGCGTTTAATACACTTTTTATAAAAAAGCAATACAAGCTAGCGCATCAAGGGTTGGAACCTCCGATTCCATGCCTACTAGTCCGTCGTCTTCCCAACTGCGCCATCTGTGCGCGTTCCGTACTGTTTGGTTCTCGTATAAAAGCGAAGAAGTTACAAGACACCTGGGGAGAGGGGACCTGTAACTTTGTTCCNAGAACCGTTTCGCAGATTTGGAATTCAGGTTCGAGATCAGCGTTCGAAACTACCTACGTCGGTATACATCTTATCTTAAATGGCCACTGCGACTTGGTATCCTTTCTGGTCAGTTCTCTAAAGTCTGACCCACCATCATTCTCGACTTACCACTTTCAACTCACTCTAAACGGGTCCAAACAATTACTTTGCAAGATAAAGACTTTTGGCGTCAATCAACCCCATCTATTGCTCCTCCGCATCCGACTTCAATTGGAATCATCATGAATTGAACGCGTTTGTGGCCTATACAATGGCTTTGGTTGGCCTAGGCAAATATGTATCCGGGATTCGAACCCGTGACCACCTGTGTAGGATAGTGCGTCACTTGCGATATCCACTTCCACCCTTGAACGATTACTTTACGTTTTTTGAATAACACTGTTTATTTTCCACTCCCAAGGTTTCGGCACTTTGCCAGATTTTTATAGTACTTTTTTTCGAAATGACACAGTTCCTACCTGCTATATCGAATGTAGGAAAATATTGTTCGTATCGTCAGCAGATTCCATAGATTTTTACTACTCACAATCAGTATGTAGTAGGTTTGCCTTTGTGAAAAGAAACCGGTACTTGGTGCGGGCTGGAGAAGAGACAGTGTATTCGCTAAGCTTATTAAAAAAGTAGGTAATTTTCTTCGCTACACGCTTTTTCATTTCGCGAAGCAAATTACATCAAGCCAGCGTAGAAGCACAGTAAAGTAAAGATGAGGGGTATTTGTCAAACGCATCTCACACTCAGATGCATTTTAAAGCTGGATTCAGTATCTCATTTTTGTCTAAAGGAAGATTTATAGTTTGCGGATTAAGCCAGCGACCTTGCAGTCAAGGCTTCGATGTTGTCCTGTCCTCACACGATAAATTAGAATGAACAAGTTGTAGGAGCAGTCAGTAGGAAGCTGTAAATATTGTTTTGTGGCGTTAAAACCTGTAACAGCGATGACCGGTTTACTTTGAGCTACAGCAGCTCCTCGTTTATATGACGTTTATCTCTACCTCTGGCAGAGAATCATGAATCGAACGGTGTTGTAACTATTTCAGTCCCTCTATCGAAACGACGTCAGGTCAATCTCCATAAGTTTACACATAGGATTAAAACTCACCGGATTATTGCACCACCAGCCGCGCAAAGGGAGCCGTCATTCCTGGCTGTTAGTTGCGCTATCGAGACCATGTTTAACTGTGGGACAAAATGAAAGATGCTTTTGTTTGCGATATGTGATCAACTCCGCGTGATATATTATGTGTGACAAACACCTTCCACCATATAGTATTAATATATCAGTTACTATAAGCAATTAATCAAAATATATTACGCTCTGCGGCAACGAAAACAGAATTAATCATTTTTTGTTGTTAAAAAGAGAAGAAACTGTTAATGGCAAAAATAGTCGGCCAACACGGTTTTTTCGTTGATATGTAAGGAAGGAACCGATCGTAGTAGGGACTAATACACTTGCAGATAGCTACCATTATTGCGTATCGTTCCTGTTCAATTGCTCATAAATAAAGCCTTAGCTTCCTCGTGGCTCGTCGTGACAACCAAAAAAAGACGTCATCAGCCGTAACCATAGTCTATAGCCATTGCTCACATATGAATCGTCCCATATGAATGATGGACGATTCCGAAGAATCGTAACGACGGATGCGTCCGCGCATACCTTTTCCACGGTCACCGCATGACTGTGGACAATATATGTGTTTCAATATGATAGGTTCGGGGCAAAGTTCATGTGCTCAAGGATGTCTATGAATCTTATGACGAATCCCGCTTGAGTAGGGTATTGACCTTAAATTGTAAGGAATGGGGCATGGTGCGCCATCGCAGTAATGTCTTTGGAACTGGGTTGGCACGCTCGCAACGACCCAGTTTCAGAACTCCATGTGTTCTACATATTATACGTGAAGAGTCCTGATATGACTAGCGAAGACCGCCGCGGACCGCGACGACCTTGTTTAAGCAGGGAACTGCGATGGGGTCTCCTGACCAATGCCTAACTGCGGGTGTTCATGCCTGTTTCTCGCAGTATTGCATTCCACGTCTGAATTCCAGATTCTGCTGCTTCTCGACTTCGGATTCCCATGAGTTCAAGTTCCCTATGCTTGAAGATTCACTGCCACCTGCATACGTCTCACTTCCATTCTTGCACGATCGCAGAAAGGGCGGAGTTTGGCAATATAGTAGTTTACAGGTACGATCACAAAGTTTGGAATTGTAGTATAAACTACTCAGTCGTGATTTCTTTTCGAAATGCGAAACATATTCATAGTGTTCTATATATAGTAAAACAATATCACTCAACTCAACATTTTCGTTCTTCGTACCGTTAGAGATGCGCAGAGCTGGAAATGAGTTGATGATTTCGCGAAAGAAAAGGTTGGAGTAATTATTGGAGCTATGTGCCCAACATTCTTACTTCATTCCTGATTAGTTCAACGAACAGTAATCACAAATTATGAAATGGACATCGGCACTCTTCTTTTTTTTAGTTCCTTTCTTCGTCAACAAACGTTTAGAGCCTTTGAATCGAAATCAGCCTCCATAAACAGTTATTGGTCTTAGAGATATAGGGGAAGGAAAATTTCTCCAAGCACAACGTAGAAATATGTATATAACTGAAGGCAACGAGCGTTCAGTTTTCTGCCCGTATTAATCGGTGTCTGTGAGTGTGTATGGGACAATCTATAGTCATTTAGCGTTATGGGAGATGTAATGGGTGCTTGGAAGAAGACGGCAATGTGTGATTTTATGTCACGAAGGAGCCTGAACAAGCGCTGAAGTAGTACCGAACCCATTGTACCGAAGTACCCATTGCCTTCAGAAAATCTCCCCCGCTTCGTTGAGGTGCCATTAGGTCATTTCGAAAGTTATACTTTTCTCGAACGAGATGAGGAGTAGCCAATGAAATAAAATATTAGTTCAGTCAAATAGGCTCCATCGTTGTTATACTCATTTCCGGCGTCCAGGAAGCATTTGAGCATCTTCTTTTTCCAGAAGAGAGGGTATGACGCTGTTCAGGTCTGCTTCGGCGGCCGACAACTTGTCACAGTGTTTACCACTCACACGTGCCTTCCGTTGCCCAAAGCATTCACCCAGCATGGTTCTAGGCCGGGCGAATACAGCGGTTTAATCCGGATTTTTGTCTTTTCTTTGAAAACTGCGGAGCTGTTCAAAGTGATTGGTGGGTGTCATTTCTTGAAAGAAACAGGATCATTAGAACTCTATGTGATTCAGCCATGATGAATTCCATCTTGAACAGAGCTCTGCATCAAATTCCCGGCGCCTCCTGATCTGCATCAACCCAAATCCAGCGCTTGCCTTTCGGGTTAAGTGTGCCAGCTCACCCATCTTTCGTCTATAGCCTTCGCCTCGCTATTACTGCAGGCATCACTTCGACTTTCTCTTCCTTCTTTCGTAAGAGGCTAAGGTACTCTTACACATTTCATCCTGGTCGTCTGCATTTCTTTCCACACACTTCGGCTTATGTTTCATCAGAGATACCGTCGACCGCGGAGGAATTCGACATTCGTTAAGTCTCTGTACTTCGCCATTTGACGGGTTGATTTCATTTACCGCTTTTCATGGGCAGAATGAATATTGTGGGCATCGCCTCGACCTTTTCCTGTGTCTCTTCTTCTTTCTTTGGGCATTAGCACCCAGTTTTCAACATTACGCTTAGGGAACACTGTTCCTCAAGAATGTTCATCCAACTCATAACGAAATTGAAGTGCAGGTTCGCCTTTTGTGACGCTCCTTTGGAAATTCCGCGTCGGTTTTGGCCGTTCCTGTTTCATTTCGATTTTTGAAATTTTTCTTTAGCAGCCAAAATGACGAAATTGGGCAGTGGCGCAGCTTTACTAGATTCCGATCAAAACAATGACCATCATGATAGCTGGTATATTTTCCAGAATTGACCATGAACGACTTTCAATGAATCTTGGCATCGTGTGAGTTTCGGTATGAATGTGTATCTGTAGGTTATACTTGAGCTAGCTGAAGTCTGAAATGGTGCATGAATTGGATGAATCTCAAATTCTTTTTGGTTTCCAGGTCCTGACGAAGACGATAACGCCGAAACGTTGACTGAATAAAGAGCTGTACCATCTTGGCCGAGGCTATACCACACATTCATACCGAAACATCACGATAGCATCTTTCCTTTCCGTACAATCCCTTCGGATGTCTGCGCAATTTCAATGAGATGACCTAATGCGTATTCAGAACTACTCTGACATTGGATATCCTTCCGTGCATCGTTCTAATCGGACAAACCATAAAAAGAGACCCCAAGAACAGGGCGGAGGTGGTTTAGCGGCAATTGCGCACTTCACACCCACATGGTCGCGGATCGAATCCAAGACCGATATCCGCCTAGGCCAACCAAGCCCTCCATTCCACCAGTTGGTACTGCACTCTTCTGGGAAGATAAAAACACTTCAATGAACATCTGTTCGCCACAGAAAATTATTGTGCTCGCTACATTGTATTCAATACTACGCCACTACAATCCTGCTTATATAATCGGCTAAGTGTGTCTGTTGGTGTGTTTGTGTGTATGTGTGTGTGTCTGACCGGAAATTCATAACTTCTGTCCCCGTGGACCTAAAGCGTTCAAATTTGGTAGGAGTACAGCCGTCAGGATGGGAACACTTTCAGTGGATGGCAGGATTGGACTTAGCCCAAGGGGGGCGGAGTTTGTGAGAAATAAATGTCTGAGCGAAAATTCGTAACTCCTGTCCTCGTGATCCTAGAGGACTCAAACTTGGTAGGAGTACAGGCGGCAGAATTAGAACACTTATAAATGGTGGCGGGACCAGACTCTGCCCCAATGGGCAGGATTTGAGGAAACATTCACAACTACTATTTCCATTGCCTAGAGAGCTCAAATTTTGTAGGTGTACAGGTGGCAGAATGTGAATACTTACTGAATACTTGGTTTGTGGATAGGCCAGACCCCGCCCACAGTGGTCGGGCTTTATGCTGAAACACACGACACCTGTTTCCTTGTACCTAAAGCGTCCAATTTTGGTAAGAGTACGGGCGGCAGGATGGTCACAATTATGGTTGGTGGCAAGAACAGACTCTGCCCATAATGGAGTTTGAGCGAAGATTCACATTTACTGTTCCCGTGCACCTAGAGCGCTCAAATTTGGTATGGGTTCAGGCAGCAGGATAGGAACGCTTATGTCAGGGAGCAGGACCGAGCTCCTCTCATAACGGGCGTAGTTCCAGCGAAAATTTATAACTACTGTCATCGTGCATCCAGCGTTTAGTGTTCAAATTTATTAGGGGTACAGATGACAGCATTGGCAAGGTGGGAACACTGATGATAAGTGACAATTCTCGACTTCGGGCCGGGCGTGCTCGAAAGCTGGCAGTTTAGACCCAAGGCATTCAAGTTTGCTATGAATAATGACGGCTGTATAGGAATGCTGATGGGAGATGGCATGATTGACAGGAGGTGGGACGCACACCAAAATTGCTAATTTTGACCTGGCGAGTTCAAATTTGGAACAAGTGTAGGTGGCAGATTTAAGACACCAGTGGCAGGTAGTAGAAGATAGCTGAACGGGATCAAGCAGTCAAGATGGAATAAGAAGGAATGAACCCAGGCATGAAATGTTGGTGTGTGTTTCGCTGGGAATCGATAGCTTCTGTTTTTTGGACCAGAGTTTTAGAACTATGGAGAGTGCAGGCGGCGGATCAAATTTAAACTTCAAGAAGGGGGGAGCTCGGCGTTAGCCGGGCGATCCGACCGGTTCCGAATGGAAGTCGAATGCGAGTGTACATCCCTTAGACGAGATCGGTTAACGCTCGAAGACTTTATCCTTCATGGTACTGTAAGCAAATGCATGTAGGAAGTGCCCTTGCAATTGGCTCTCTAAGTCCTTTTCAATAGAAAAATCGTGTTATAGTTGGTATAATGCAATATAAGGAAATCTCAAATTGCAGCTAACATTGAGAAAGAGAAACACACTGTAGGTATACAGTAACGCTCGAAAGTATTCGGCCAAATGCTCCTTCATTCGTACTTTTTAGTCATGACTCCTTTCCTACTGGATCTAATTAAGCGAAGTTTCAATATGTGTAGCATTGGTGTAGTGTGAATATTTACCAATATTAACCCTGCAATCTGGTCATGTTCCAGTTGTCCAAAAGGGCTTGAACAAAAAATGAACCGGAAATACGAATGGTGGTCCTTCTAGGAGTCCTTTCCTTTTTCCATATCTTAATTGTACGAGCACTAATGTCGAACCCAGAAGAGAAGAAAAACGTACACAAGGTCGGAATAACTGCAGACGTCACAAACTTGCTTTCAGGACAGTCTACAAACGCCTCCCCATTAGTAGGTGGATATGGCTGTTTTGCAGTCAAGTAGTGTTGGACAGTGTAAAATATGCNTCAGCTAAACATATCAAAATTTCATGTGATTTGCTCCACTGGGAAAAAAGTTACGGCACGTTAAAGTTGGCCGAATACTTTTGAGCACAACTGTATGTATACTGTAATGATTAGCCCATCGTTCTTGAGTACGACATTTGGGATAAGAATAACTGTTCCTGTACAAAAAACATGCAATTTTCACAAGTAGTCCCGCTGTCATCATGCTCAGTTATCAGATGGTATGGTATGGAAAGTATTTGAAATTTCACAACCGTCTCATTTCTTCTGGATAATCGGGAACTTCTCATAGAATTGTATATGAGGGCGCTACTCCTTTCTATTCTCATAACATATTCGGCTTCTTCTTCCTTGCTGATTCAGCCATATAATCACCAAACTAGGTATTTCCATATGCTCAGCCCTTACTTCTTTACAACTATAAACAGACCGTTCCGCTGCTGGAGCCTGCCCATATATGAGCCCCGATCGGGTCTGGACCGTTACAGCGTGAAATCTCCAGGTATGTTGAGCGCGTATGAGTGAGTAGTTCTTTCCGTGTTTTCTGTGAGGACTTCGGGATCTTCCCAGACACTTTTTTGGGTGTCCTAGACTGTTGTGAGATATCGTCAAATACTTTCCAGACACATTAATATTACCAGGCTTTCTACCGGATCCCTCGAAGCTTAGGATTAAACATTACAATACTTCAGTATACACACAATATATAGTAAATAAGGTCATTCTCTGAAAAGTGTAATCGTAAAAGAAACTGTTCAATAATTGTCGTCTTCTTCACTCTGTTTTTTCTTTCGTTCACTTTCCTTCAGCGAAGCGAACGGACCACTGCTCTGTGAAGATGTTGACGTTATACTGGCTAAAATAGACACCTTCAAAATTGATGATTAATTCTTCAATCCGTCAACACATATCGATACTTTGGACAAATCCTTCTAACTAGTAAAAAGGAACTAGCCAGTCCGGAGTCAATTATACGTATAATATTGGGNGGGAGGAGCGTTGAAACTCAAAAGTCGTTGTCCTCAAAATTGAAAAGCACAGTTGCTACTTTTTTTGAAATTTCCCTAAATGACATCGGACAATGTGCAGATGAGGGGTGTGGTGCAGTAGGGACGAATGGTCGCGCCGCGGCGAAAGAGGCGCTGCGCGCGAAGGAACGTAACAGAATGCAGCAGCAAGTAAGAAATACAGGAGGAAAATAACTAACAGTAGAATCATGCCAAAAGTAATAATGGCATAGCGATTGAGCTGTGGGAGGAATGCTAGAACTGTTATAACGAGGCAGATGGTCCGCGACAGCCGCGTGCGGCGGATCAACTACCCAAAACAGTTCCTACCGCCCGTCTCCCGCAGATGGGTCTAATTCTCTTTTTCCAATGAATCCCAGCTGGACTTAGGACAACTCCTTGAATAACTTTTGTTGCATTTAAGGTTGTTGCTTTGCAGGCTTTGGTAATTCCCGCGTTGGAATGCCATTGAAGATTGCCATAGGTAATGGTGGGAAGGAGGAACGTTGCAGGTTGGTAGTGAAAGATAGTGCATCCTCATAACCACTGCCGTTAACACATAACCTCGTAGTATATTGATGCTTTCGTGTTGAAGGTACATGTTACCCTACGAGAAATTGCTCAACACTGGCTTAAGCCATTGCGTACCGCGTGCTGCACATGGTGCAGCACGCCCCTCCCCCTCTGCATGTCCGCGTTTAGGTCCAAAACCACTCTAGAGTGTGAATAAAGTTCGAGCAGCGCATATTTTGTGAATCCTCCAAAAAACCGCTCTGTGTGGCCGCGTGCTGTACGCCGTTATCAACTCGGTGGGTCGTCTGTAGAAAACGACGGGCACATGCGCCAGCCAGAGCGAAAACACTACAGTACGCAATGGGTTAAAGTACCGTAGATACATCACTCATCTCGCGGATATTGATAAATTTTCAGTGATTTATTCTTTTTCGTTTCGCTTTTTCTGATAACAAATAACTGATAAAGCAGCTTAGCTAATTGCAACCACTTACCGGTGCTAGCCTTCTTGACGGGTTTTTGATGTTTAGCTTCTGGGCTTTGGTGATGTCGTCGTAACGTGCTATCTTTCGAAATGTCGACTATAATTAGTTCAAATAGAAGGACTGCATCTAGAAAGTTCTCTGGAAGTGCAAAAATGTCAAAGAATTTCTTACCTATATTGCAAACAACGCTGGCTGCATCGAATAGTCCGTGGCTCTGAAAACAAAGGTCGGTAAAAAGAACGCATGGCAATTGCTAAAATTTCATTTCATTATACTATGACATAGTTACTGTTACGGCTGTTATGTTGGCAAATAGTCCTACACGTCTTCGAGCAGATTCAATTACTGTTACGACTTTGTGGGTGTCAAAAAGTCCTATAGGGTTGCCTGTTATTCAGACGTAGCGAAATGCTTCGATGAGCGCAGATGACGTAAAAGTTGAAGTTGATCGAAACCAGACAGTGGGACTCACCACAAATTCTCCATCGTGCTTCTCCAGGCTGCTGCTTCGTTGCTCTCCCATCAAATTTTTTTCTTTCTCCAGTATAACGGTCGCAGACTTCGTCTTACCTTTCGATAAGGCTTTTACTCGCTGAATTTGGTTTGAGATGAATACGTCATATAATTGTTATAGCTGTTATACATTGCGCTACTATTTAATTTTCCATCTTCCCGAGAGCTATCTCTTACAGGCAGTAACCTTGCTTGGGAGGAGTTAGTAAAGGTACTGAATTTAGTTAGACCGACCGAGCAATACTAATGGCTAAGACTCAGTAGGATGATGTCTCAGTTGAAAGAGTACCGTGCAGCTGACAATTAGGAATTGGAAGTTGGGTCCTTTCGCCAAAATGAATTGTTCAAGTCTGGATGGATTTATCGAGTTTTGTCCATACGTGCCTTCGAATACACGAGTTATTCACTGATTTGTTCCCTCATGGATAGGACAGAGTGAGCAATGTTTTCGAAGGCACAGTCCACGATAATTTTGAGGTACTTCTTTAAGTCGAAAAGCGGAAGTGCATGGTCGGAATAGTTCATCGGTAGTTAAGAAAGCGAAAAAATTCGCCGATTTTGAAAAAAAAAATAGGCTCTTTGACGGTAGGGATAGTAGGGGTTGGACGTGATCACCGTGACGGAAATAACTTGGAAAGGGTATTCGGACGTAAATTTTAGTTGTTGCAATTGCACAAAGAGCTGACTACATCATGCAAGAAAGGTAGAGAACTGCCTCTAACTGTCGTTATTGGACATGACAAGTTGTTTGATCTCCCTACATTGGAGAAACTCGTCCTAGGATACATACGGTACAATCTTTGAGCCTTTATAACGCCCTATCTAAGCAGCTTTCAGGTATGACAGCGCCACATACGGCATGCGGGGGTCCTACGAACTCATTCTAGCTGGATATCTCGAGAGTCAGTTTTATCGTGAACTGTGCCTTCATCGTGAACTGCCAAAAAATATTCAGAAGATAACATTGATGTTCTTAATGCATAGCTTTTTTGGAAGGAGAAGACAGAGACAAAAAATTATTCCCCTGACGGATGCGCCATATTGAAGGAGCCACTACTTCAAATGATATATCTATCTATGTCAATGAATGTTGAATGATCAATGATTTGCAAAAAACAGTCAGTGCTTTCAGTAATCGGGAGTTCGACGGCACAGATTGCGTACTTTTAATGGCCTTCTAATGCAACTTGTCCTCTTTCACAAATACAACTATGGTATTCTTATGACGTCGCAAAAACAGTTTATCCGAGTAAGTCCATTTAAGAAATTAGTTTCTTAGCGCAATCTCGAGTATTTTTTCTCAAAAGTAAGTTGAGTGTAGGCGGGAAGCGGAAGTGCACTCATTTCGTCATGATAAAATCAAACTTCACAGTCACCAAACTCCTACTTTTTTCTTATGTCTGTTCAATTTAAAGAGCAGGTATATAGGCTCTTTGTATGAGGCGAAGTAGGAAACTTGTGGGTCAAGGGATAGATATATTGTGGAGCCAGCAGTGAGGACAGTACTTACAGTACGTGCAGGTGGATGCCCGAAAATGGGTCTCGCTTGGAAAAGATTTCGGTGTCATAGGGCGGCTTCGTCGTCTACTGAAGAAGTTTGCCAAGATAGAGAGCCGTCGTACAGCACCGGCAATTTTTCCATGCGGCCCTGTGTTGGGCGATAAAAATAGGGGCAGGCCACCTTTTTGGTAACTAGTCTCCCATATTCAGCCCACAGGTTTGCCCTGATATTAATAGCCCTAGTATTCAGTCTAACCGGTGTTCCATCTTATTTACCAAGCGGAAGGGTAGTTGTATAAATTTCTCTAAGTTTAAATTACTCTATACGAGAACCATTGTTATTAGGTAAGATAATGATAGAAATGACATCGCTTTCATTTCCTCGTTTACGCCTTAAACCGTTTCCCTCTCCTCGTCTTTCATCGGTTCCATCAGAAGCACGTAATAGTGTAGCGGTGCACCGTGAGATTTTCGCTTCTCTACATCAGCAGAGAATCACCGAAGCGAGAAACGAGTTCACCACTCAAGCCAATTCGTTTAATCCGCAAAGCTGGACCGCCTCTAGAGTAGATTTTTGGTTCGCGGTGCATTGAGGTGGAATTGGAAATCGCTGGTAAAAGTTGTTCGTCAACGGCATCATACATTCCCCTCGGCTACGCTCCATGATCATAAAGGATATAGGACAGGGCAAAAGCGAGCATCTGCCGCTTTCGGCACCGTCTGGGAGTCTGATCTCGGAGCAGATTGAAGGAAAACAAAATTTCTGTGTTGATAAGATGGATATATGGATACCACAGTTTATATCATTTGGTTTTCATGCATCGGCGTACAACTCGTATCGGCGTCGCTAAGATTATAGTGAAAGCTGAATGAAATGCATATGTCAGAAAGATCAATTGAATGAATACATGGACGTTCTCGTTAGAGCTGCTGCTTTGTCTTCACATGTGGCTGAGTGGATAGCAAGAGATTTCATTCCGGACATGATCGGGTATTGAATTACTGCAGAATGATGACGTTATGGCGGAGATTAAAGGATAATATCGAGGAATGGAAGAGCGTCTCAATCTCATAAGATCTAAAGACGAAAATATAAAAGAATTGTCCTGCAACCCAGGCTTCATTTCCTCAGCTGAACGGCTTTGAAGTTACTGCAGTATATAACTTACAGAAGCGTTGTCAAGGTATAAATGGTGGTATAAATGTTGTTGGGGTCACTCAAGTCCTTGAACTCCGTGTCGCTGGAATCCTTGGCTCTGTTTCTTGGGTACAGCTCTTCTCCCTTTTAGACTTCTAATTTTGTCTTGTTACTACGAGCTCGTCATATTTCTCCTCACTCTGTTTCCGAATGGTCATGGATCAAATCTATTTCTGTTTTCAAGAGTCAGTGAAGCTTCTCAAAAGGGTTGGGAAGCTCATTTCGTACATTGACAATAAATACTGCAAGAAGGCAACAACAGAATGGACTCACCTCGATTTGAACTGTAGAAGAGTACTCTGAAATGACGAACAGTCAAATTCATAGTAGTATCAAGCATTAATGTTACCCACTTACTCATTTCGGCCTTTCCCTCTTTCTCTTTTTCTTTGTCTTTATCTTTCTCTTTGACGTTCATAACTTTCATATCCTGCATCATTTTATCCTCAAGCTGATCGAATGTGAGCTCTTTTTCGTCATCTTTTGACTTGCTTTTTTTCTAAAACAAATAGTCCGTTAAACAGTAACTGTAACTATTCGACAATGTTGGACTACCATTTTGACTTCTTTGTGTTCAGCATAATTTATGATAAAGTTGTTAAGATCGGGTTACAAGGCTGAAGCGCGTGGGTGGTTATGTGCCAAGAGGTGCCACTATTTATTTATTTATTTTGCATACAAGATGCGCCAAACATGGTTGGGAAACAATACAGAAATACACAACACAGAAAATCCAGAAAACTTCATCATCTCCATTGCACACTCACATTTTGGGTATCGCTTACTACAGAACCAATCATTGGTTCTTCACCAGTTGGTGTAAAACCAATGATTGGTTGTGTAGTACGCGACACCCAAAACTCGCTTACCAAAAATTTTGCCCAAAAATGTTCCTTCTTTGTTCCAAGAGAGGAAAGATCTTCCGATTCTTGTGAGCTTTGATCATCCGACCAATTATGGATCGAAAATGTTTGCACGGCACATCATTTCGGGATTTCACGCTCTCAACAGTGCCATTGTTACATTATCGAGCGCTCCAGTCAATTGTTATAGTCTAGGGTGAAAAAAAGTGGTGGCGTTTATTTAATTGTTGACGTCGTCTTACGACATTTCTCAGGTTACTGTAAATTAAATTTGGTCCCATAACAAGGGAATAATTCTTAGTGAAATTTTTTTTGAGGAAAGGTCACATAGTGGTGGGGAAGAAGATTTTTGGAAATGATCGCCGGATATTTATAGCGTTTCTTAATGTTTTTACTCGGGCGGAAGTGGTGTAGTGGCGATTGGCGCACTTCACACATGCATGGTCACGATCCCGGATCGATAGCCGCCTAGGCCAACAAGACCTTCCATCCTTCCGGGGTCTGTCGACTTGTACCACACTCGTCTGAGAGGATAAAAGCACTGGCTTGTTCATCGGTTGGCCACCGCAAGTCATTGTATAGGCCACATACGCACACATTACGCCACTACGATTCTACATGGAAGTTGTGCGGGGGCGCATTCCTCAAACGGGATTGATTAGCGCCGAAAACATTATCCTTATTGCTTTTTTCTCAAGATTCATTCGTAGGGAGCCCTTCTTAAGTCACTTTTTGTTTTTCGTTTTTTTTTTCCGATTCAATGTGATTCGAATAGAAGTCGAATTCCAGTCCTAAAGAATCCCTAATGGGGCAGTCGCTTCTCCAGTTGGGTCGTTTATGTAGTATCATGGAACATGGAGACGAATTTTTCAATTAGTTAGCTTCTTCTAATCTTTTGATGGGATGCGCCTTGCACTTGCACTGCACTAACTTTCATACAAAACCGTGGTAGCTAATGAGTATCAGTTGAGAGTCTGTTGCGGGGCCAACCAGCATGAGTTCCTTCTCATTTTCCTCCTGAATTCGTCCATTAACGGATGACAAACCCGGAGGGAAAGGTTTCCTGACTGTGAATCACATTTGCAACGAATGATTCATAATGTGGGTCCACCGTTGAGTGGTACTTGGCTAGTGTACTGATCGAATCCAGTTTTTCCTTTCGTAGGTAGGCGAATTTTTGGGGTCAAAGGTGTGTCGCACTACTATTCACCTCTCTGTCGTTCCAGAGGTTCAGAACTGAGACCGTCGCAGGTCTTCCATCCCTTTAAGTCTAGAAAGTTGGTGCCAGAATTTTCTGGGAGAATATTGCATCTGTGCGTCGGGCGCATGCCAGAAGGGTTTTGGTTAACGCCAAAAACCTTATATTTTGTTCTCTGAAGAAGAGAATTCAGGGATCGCGTTTATCTCTCAACCCGTTCAAGTTGTTGTATAGGAGTTTATGATTAAAAAACTGAAAAAATTATTTTTGAGAGTCGTCTATTTCAACATTTTGGAATTGAGTATAGCCTAATTCGCGAAAAAAAGAAAATTATTGATCTGACTTCAGAGAGAAGGGGGATCCAAATATCAAGCTTGATTTCAAGGAGATTCGATGAACGATGTTGTTTAATGCTAAATCTAATTGAGTGGCTGGATTAATGTGCAGAAAGGCAGGTAACATTCATGAAGTCATTTTATATGCTGCCTATAAACATGGATATGGCAGGGTGAAAGCAGCAAACTAATTTTGTAGCAGTTCCAGCTTTAATACTGCTGTACTATAGTCTAATTTGCGAAAAATGGAAAATTATCAGTTTGACCTTTTCCGGATTCTTTTAAAAGTACTTTGGGGGCTTGATTCTCGCGCAGAAGCAGCGTTGGAATGTGTCCTTGGCACGTATAATAATTTGTATCGGCTAGAGCTGTCTAGGCGGATCGAACGAATGACAAAAACCCCTTTCTACAAAATGTTCATCGAATTGTAGGCTTAGGAGTCGAAAGGGATAAGGAATTGGTAATGCCAGTTACTACAGGGATATTTTGCCGTTGTGAGGTTAACGTAGTGACAAGAGTACCTTCTATCATATACAAGACACATAGAAGGAACTCCCAGTCGTCATGCCTTATTTTCACATCACACTTATGAAGTAGTCTGTGGATGGTATTCCTTGATTCACTGCACATTCCTATTTAGTGCTTTGTCGGCTTATAGTGCAGCATGCAGCAGTGGTGAGTAGGTACTCAGCTGCCACAAAACTTCACTCATACTCCTCGTACGTGGGTACTGTCTCAACCTTGGCATTGGCTTGAGCAACTCCAAAAGACTTTTTTTTCGGAACCTCAGACGACATCGCTTTCATCCATCTTTTCTAGTTCTTGCGTTCTACACCAAATTATACCCAATCAATGTAAGGAAGTCTCCCATTAAAACATGCGCTCATAAGACGCACATGTGGATTTTCTTCGAACAACAGCCCAATGAATGCGAAGGGGTTGAAAGGCAAGGCTTCAGTGGTGTATACAATACAGTACAGTACAACACAGTTGCGGTGGTTGGTGCACCTGCTGACCTGACTTAGCTGCGGGGACCTGATAAGACCACTAATACAGTCAAACAAAGATTGTGGGCTGAAGCGAACTGTGTGGCTCACTTCAATGTAGTGAAACTGATCACTTCAGTTGTTACCCTTTCGCTGTTGCTCAGAGGATTGGGTTGAAACGCCCATCTCGGTTGTGGGTGGAAGAGAAGGTTAGAGCGTTCGGGTGTAGATATGTAGTAATAGGAAATAATTTTCTCCCTTATCTTCTTGGGCTTACACTGATATTTGGATACTTCTTCGACATTCGGATTGCATGGGAAGAAAACGTTCAGGTCCAGGAAAGTAAACCTAGGCTTAACTTAGTTTCTTCTTTGATTGTATCACTATTAGACCAGTATAAAATCATCAAAAAGCTCCTCAGCTCCAAATTAGGTGGGATCTCTGGAGTTCGTAACCCGTTTCTTTCCTGACCTGTTGACTTTTCCCTTCTGTATTTCGAGAAGGCCCCGATTCTCCCTGTTTTCTTCACTTCGAATCGGCCATTTCAGAGTTTTTGAAGAGTTTATTTTTCATTGTTTTGATTCTCTATTTTCTTTTTCCATATATTATCTTGTCAAAAAAGTCTTTAGTAAGGTAATCTTAATTAAAATGAAAATCGACCTACCTTACTCATATCCTTGTCTCTTTTCCCATACTGCTCCGCAAACATTGTTATTACTGTTGTAGATCGACGTTGTAGACCAAATACTGGTAAATCTATAGTGAATACTGGGAAAGAAACGGTGGTTATGAGTAGCAGTTGGCGAATCTGAGTTGAGCTGAAGGAAGCGGTTTTATCGAAGCTGAAATGGTCGGTGGAACTGAGTCTCGGATTCTGACAAGGCGAAACTGCTATTTGATTGGAAAGGCGTGAGTGGAGGCGGCGCCACTCGACGGCCGGTAGCATTGGCAACCGGCGCAGACGGAAGCACTAGTGTAGTTCCACAAACACCGTCAAACAATGGCTACTTTTACAGTTTACCGAAATTATATGGCAGCAGGTGGCTTAGATGCAGGACTGCAGGAATGCAGGACTGGCAGAGGGCAGTGCTCTCATCAGTTCAAAAAAGACACGCTTCGGAGAAATCAAAAAATCGAATTTTAAGAAGGTCATCGATCAGTTTAGAGAGACATCTTCAAGTCTTTAAAAAGCCAGGTTGATGAGATTGTACGCGGCAACCTTTTACACATTTCGTTACTTTTCGACCGCCCTGCCGAAGTTGGTTCTTCTCCATTCCTCTCAGTCCGTAGCCAGTATGAGAGGCGACTAAGCACCACAGCTTCGTACCCCTGGATTGGTAACCACATCAGTTCTTGTTCGGACTGGACCCCTCGAGTTTTCATCCATCGGACTGGTAGATTGATACTGGACCAATCACCGACTGTACATTGGCCGCTATCGAAGTTTGTTCTATGGATCAAATTCTTTCCTGAAATGATAGTCCAAGCTGAGTGGAGTTGGATTCCTTGGCGTGTTTCGAGAGATAATAACTTAGTGTCAATCACTCCATCCTTCTGTAAAGTACTATATATGGCGGTGTCGAAGGAACACTTGCTCACCGGTTGGCAGCTAACTTCCTTGTTTGCCAAGGTTCTCATACATTTATTGCTGGGTGGGATAGAAACCGCGGAAGTCATGTAGTGTGTAGGGAACGAAAGTAGTTGTACTCGTAGTTGTTTGATTAGACACAATTGAGAGACAACAAACTTTGAAACAGCTAGAAGTTGGGGACCTCTGCACGACTTGCTTCAGAAAAGATGATTTGTTTAAGAACCACTTTGACAGCTATCCCTACGGCTCTTTACGTGGTGAGAATAATCTTCAACTTCCGGCGTCTGCTAGTATTGCTTAGAGTTATTTTCCAATAGTTGGAATTACTGAACGAAGAATTATTGATGAAGCCTTACCTCAACCAACCAACCTCTTTTATCCTTCTGGAATCATGCAGCTAAGTAAGGGTTGGTTTCGGAGGATAAGCAAGAGCTTTAACATTAGTCAGTCCTCTTGCTGTGCGATCTGACCATGAGTATTCATTCACATATTATCTCGATTCTGTTAATATAGCGAATGCGTGGCGCACTCATAAAAGGTTTGCTCGTTATCGTGGGCTTGTGTCTTTGGCTTTCGTGTGAACTTTGTGTTTTTCATTCTTCCGCCACCAGTAAATCATGGTAATTACCAGCCACCACCCTCACTTACTCATTACACCCTCATGTCTTATAAGTTACCAAGTTAATAAACTCATTAGTTAACCAGTTAATGAACAGCATGCTCTTTCTCGAATCTGTTCGTCAAGTGAGGGTGGTTGTACTTGAAAAAGAGAAAATGTCGTTAAGAGAACACAAAGGTAATTGTTACAGGTCTATTAGAACTAGTATCTGGTTAATAGTGATAGGAAAAGGCTACAATGAAGACCAGGTTCAAGGAATTCAACACAGTCGTAAAGGCTTAGGAGATTCGATTCCCACCTGTACTCCATTTCTCAACGGAAAGCTAATAGAATTTTTTTCGAACTGTAAATCTCTACATGCTCTGGGTGATATGGTTACAATCGATCACATCAACTAGACATGCCCTAAGATAATTATGCGGTTGCCGCACAGATTTCATTTCTCATGGAGATTTGTGATGATGGTTCAGACATGCTGCTCCAGTAGTCTATAACATGGCCAAGAATTCTTGGAATGATCAGCACCTGGCCGAAGCTCATTTACCGGTGCATGCAATGTTTTTCAGCCTCAGCCTAGTCCCTTCTCTCTCCACCCTCACTAGGCTCATTGAAAATTCTAGCAAATAAAGGCGTTAGCAACCATGCTTGTTAGTCAGGAGAGGGTGGAGGTGATTCATGGAGCGTGAGAGCGAGTGTGATTGTGATTTGTCCAGCCAAGACTACAAAGGTGTTTAAGATTGCAGTAACCAGGTGTTTTCGGATTTTCCGAGAATTAATCAGGTACAGGTAGCTTGCCAGAACCGAGAACCGCATTTGTACCATACCTAGGTAATCTTCGGGAATGCTTAAACTATTGCTGGTTATGTTGTATCAGGTATTGCTGTTTTCTATGAACAAAATAGTCCGGAGCTTAAAATTCCCAAGCAATTCCAGAGGGGTGGAGCAAGAAAAACCCTAAGCTCTCAGTATTTCAATAGAAAACGCTGGACTTACCATCTCTCATGTTCGAGGCCTAAAACCAATGCTTATTCCCACTTGTGGGAGAACCCACCCATGAGACTTATGGAACCGTTTCAGATGTCTGCACACACCCCAAGGGCGATATTTCTCAGATTGTAGCACGAATGGGGGCTGTATAACGCACTCAGATTAGTCCTTCCTTTTGGTTAACCAGCGTCACGAGTGGACGACGCCGGCTGCCTCCACATCTCTGATATGGTCTCATCGGAAACTTCTAGGTAATAGGATGAGCTTGACTTAATGTGTTGACTCCAAAATAAGAACTATCAGGACTCATATAACCATCTCCAAATGGGGTTTTTTTTCACGTGAAGATTCGAATCTCTGAGACCGTTTCTCAATTGAAACTTGGTTTCGATATTCTCTTTTCTCGAGGCCATCTCTTCTTTGAAAAGAGCTGTGGGTAATGGAGAAAAAGACATTCGTAGGGATAAATTTGAAAATCAAGTGGAGAGGGGGGAACGTTAACGGTGATGGATTTTTTGACGTGAGATCTGGGGTGATTGTGCAGGAGATATCGGAACTAAGCATCGTCTTCTCAGTTTTTCGTGGCATGTGTCTAATTCTTCACAATAGGGCTAACTATACCATCTGACTCGGCTTATGAACTATGCAGTGACTAACATCGACGACAGACTACAAAAGAAGCGTAGTAGGGTAGAAATTATCTTCAGATCTTACAATCCCTCAAGGCTCGTTCGGCCTGTTTTCTGGGTAGCTCCTTCGAAATATCGCAGCGTATTCAGGTTCCAACGTACACTTTTGGAAAAACGCCTTCTTTTTCGCAGTCTATAAGTAATACATACACCCTTGCTCTCATTGTCATGTGTCGAACTCCAAGAGGGAACTAGTAGGAGGACCCAGTGACAGAAGTTTCATTTTCCTCATTGCATACAGTCGATTCTGCACAGTACCTTCTGGTAGGTCCGAGCTCCAAGTTTGCTTGTTTTGGTGAGGCAGATCTTTTTTCCCATTTTTTTGTTGCTCAGGATTTCCCAACACTCGATAAATAGGTTATGAAAACGGTTAGGAATGCAATAACAGAAGAAAACTGCAAGATTTCCCATCTTTTACTACGCGACTTCTTGAAAAAAGGGCAGGCTTTGGGCACAAAATCCCTCATTCAAGTTCAGTCGGATTACGTGGCTTTTTGATTATCCCTCCTGATGTTACAGTCTTTATCTGTCTCGTCTAAGTTGCTGGTCGCCTTGGAGTTGGAAAGTTATAACCAAGGCTTAGGACTAATCGAGCCACACCTCCGCATCTCTAATCCAGCCATACACGTGAGAGTGCAACTTTTTGATGACTTTTTCTCGAAAGAAATTTAATTTTCTCACCTTTCACTTAATACGTGACATCTGTAGGTCGTTCATGTGCCATAAGTTCCAGAAAAACGTGCGCTGTATAGGAGGCAAGTATCAGAGAAAAACTAAGCTTTGATGAGTCTATTATACTAGAATATTATCTTCCAGGGCGTGTTGGACCAATGTTCAACCCCACTCAACACCGCATAGGTTGCGTGGACTTCACTTGCCTCACCCCCTTCCATCGACCGCAGATGTGTTCCAAGAAGTCTAAATCTGGAGAAACAATCACCTAGGACAAAATAAGAAAACTGGTAAGCTCCAGGACCGGGAGCAATGACGACAGGATTAATAGGGAACTTATTTTCGTGATATTGCCGAACGCATGTCTCCCAAAGTTACTGTATCTCTGCTGTGATCGCGAGGAATTACCGCAGCTAGACTTGAGACAAAAGGTGTCAATCAGGTGCTTCTACAGAATGCTAGGGTATGTCGCGAATAAATTCTCAGTGCACATGCAGGGAGGCAATTGATTTTCCTAATGACAGCTAGTGTTAGTGGAAAAATTCCGGGATCGTTAATTGGTAGGCTATCAAGATTCATATCTCAGTTACGGTATCATGTTCTACTGACTGAATATGGCAGTTTTATAGATTGTAGGGATGGTAATCGTTACATAGTTTGTCAGGTAGACGATATTCCTTAATGAATCGGAAACGGTATTGGACAAGGAAATGTACTTTGCGACCATTCAAATTGTCCGTAGATTATGACTGGCAGCTTTATAGTCATTCGAGGCGGTAATCGTTGAAGGCATGGAATTTATATTCTCTCATAAATCAAGGACAAGAACTGACAAGCAAGGAAAGGAAAAGAAGTAAGCTCTCAAATTCATAGTCCGCAGATTAAATTTCACTGAGATAATCTGTGCCCTCTAATTGCTTCAATCAAATTACTAAATACTTGTGCTGCCTGCTGGATCAGATGCCTTGAACTTGATTGTTTTTTAAATTATACCATTCAGCCAAGAGTAACCAGAGATTTTGGTGCGGAATCCTATTTATTCCCTTCAGCTGAAAATCAGTCAGAGTTAGAGGGATGTCATGCTAAAAGAATAAGCGGGTGCATTGAAGGAGTTGATTCATAATTACAATCTTTTGAATCGTAGCTGATGA